TTCTATAACAGCTAAATGACACTTTCAGAGTTGGATAAATGTGGAAACTTCTTAAAGTGCTTCTTGTGTATAAAATGATTCTTATTGTAGTGGCTATAGAGATTCTTGCGATTCATTTAATCAGTGTAGTATCCTACAACGAAATTAGTTCTGATTTTTTAGCTCAACAAGATGTTCAGAATGGAGTAGCCGAACGATAAAAAGCAATTGACTCTCACATTTTTTTTCTTATGCGACTACATAATATGAAATATTGAACGAAAAAATACAGAACGCGGTAAAAAAAATAGGTATACATTAAACAATTCTTCAAAAGAGTTTATTAACTGCATTCACTCTTTCATTTACCATTTTTAGGATTTATTACTACTATAAACCTTCACATATACCCTTTTGACTTTTATCCTAAACTCTAGACAACATATTTTATATTTTGCATTTTCATAAACCCATCGAGAAAGCGTATATTAGTGTACCTTTCAGAAGAAATCACAGAATAAAGCGCTTTTTTTTCCGAAGGATTTATAAAAATGAAACATACAAAATTACCTTTCCTGGAGTTTAGGAGCTAAAGGGGTATATTTGATGGGTTCTAGAATTAATAATAAACCCTACAAAGGATTTACGAAAGAGCTAATGAAGTTAATAAACTCTTTTAAAGAGTTCTTTAGTCTACGACTATCTTTTTTCAGTGTATAAGATACTTAAAACAATACGAGGCTATGTATAGAATCCTGCAGGGTGTGTGTAAGCTGCCCTGTCAGGGCAGATCAGCACAGGGTAAGGTTACAAAATTTTTATAGGGAAGATTGCAGAGCACTGGGGTCATAACCTGTCAACTTGTGATAGAAATACAATTGTCACAACGCTCTAAAAACTCTAACGAATTATAGTAAAGATTTGGAGATGGATTATGTCGTTGAGTGATTTTTTCTGTACCAACTATAAAGACGTTTTATTTCTGTGTCAAATGTTTTTCTCACCACTCATTATTAATATCTATTCCGAATTTCTTTTCTCGTTTGTATTCAAAAATTACACTTTTCTCAAACTAAGCGTTCCGTAGATCGTGGCTGGGTGCCTTCAATTTTGGCACTTTGACTACTACCGTCGTTGATAAGCGTTGGAAGCCTCATCTTTTTGTGTACTAAAGTGATCGTCATGATATATGTTTTTTAGAAGCATTTATATAAAACCAAACCCTGGACACTATGCACTTTAGAAACTGTTATGCTGCTAGACACACCATCGAATTTGTTCATTAGCCAACGGACAAATTTCTTTGAAAATGATTTCTTCCTTTTCTTATTACGGTAGGTAGGGGATTAGCAGCTCCATATTATCGAGACTCTGCCTGTCACTCTTATTTGCATTTCCGTTGGTCATAAGCATGCAATAAGAATGATACGGCTTTCTGTATAACAGAAGCTCAACCAAAATATCTTCTGTTTGCGACAGAAAATTAGCAACTCTCACAAGTTTTTCTAGAGCAAATATCTTTTTTTGACAGATATTTGCACCCTGAATAAACATCTGCTCACTTTAAATAAAATCTTGATTCTGAAATTTAATAGTATCTTATTTTCTTTTACATAGTTAATCTCCGTTGGTACTAATTATAGGACCACTGAGCTTTTTTGAAAGAATCTTTCATTTAAGTACCGAAGAAATTTTCAGCAGGGCAGAACAGGACAGGGTACAGATTATGACGAAAAGTGACAAGGCAGGGTTAGGTTACGAAAATTTTACAGAGCAGATTATAGGTTGTGAAAAATTCGTATTCTGCAGGCCTCTAGTTATGTATAAGGAAGATAGTTCAAGGATAATTCCTTCATTTGTTAACAGAATATAATGTTAAATAAAATCAGATATCAGACAAGAAAAAGAAAAGGTACTAAATAAATATGTTGCTATCCAACCGAAATGTTTTAGTGAGTTCATCTCTGAATAACGGAGGAAGTCATAATATTAAGCACAGAAGTAAAAGTCATCGAAAAGCAATATAAGTGTGTGTCAGTGTTCCACTGAACACCGAGCTCGTCGTAATCAGTGGTCAGTGATGTCGGTGCGGCAGTGAACGACGGTGTATCAGTGATCTTTGGTGTTAGTTTGGTGCCAGTGCCAGTGACACCACTGCAGTGTAATCCAGTGCTCAGTGTACCGTTCTTCGGTGTCCTCAGTGTCGGTATTCACAGTCTTTGCATTGAAACCGCCCATCCCGAGGTCTAAAAACCTAGAATTTCAGAATTTCTACGCTCACGTACTCTCATGTACTAGCATGTGCTGGATCTAAAAACCTAGAATTTCAGAATTTCTATTCTCATGTACTCTCATATACTGTCATGTACTCGGATAAAAAACCTAGTATTTGCAGAATTTGAACTGTCATATACTCTCATTTATTGTCATATACTGGGTGAAAAAATCTAGAATTTGCAGAATTTGTACTAACATGTGCTCTCATCTAGTTTCATGTATTGACACTCACACTCACACCCACACCCACCCCACACTCCGCATCTACACCCAAACCCACACGCCTCACTCTGCACCCGCATCCACACTCCGCACCGAGGTAGGTTCAGATTTCAAAACAAGGAAATTATCCAAATTTCTGAAATTTCTATCAGCTCGATAACTATGTAGCAGTACAAATCAAAAGTTTTTAGACATATTGGAAATTTTAGGAAGTAACGCAAAATCCAGAACACAAATGCTTGAAATCTCCGAAACTTCTGAAATTTCCTTTTTCAGAAGTCTGAACACTGCTAAGTGCCTGAGTACGTCTCCATAGCGATTGGGGTGGGTAGTAGAGCCTGTTGGGTCCAGATCTGAAATTTTTCTGTTAACGGGGTCCGAACCCTAAAATTTTCGGACTGGACGAGTTTAAGTGATTAGGTTAATGCTGGTTGGGTAATGATTGCTAATAAGCTGTCGAGGGATGAACGCTAACAATAATTGGGTACGTTTGTCTAGCAACAGAAAAAGGAGTGTCAGGAATAATGATGCCCAGATTATTGTCGAACTTTCTGGAATGTTCGTTAGCATTTAGAGTGTGAATGTGGATGTGTATGGGGTGTGACTGTGAATGTGATTTGTTCTACTTTCAACTCACATCCACACCCACAGTCTATGTTCGATGCCTAGAATACAAAATTTCAGCAGAACCTTTTCTTTCTTCTTAATCGTTGGATACAGCTCGTTGAGTTGTGTTAGAAAATATATATTTCATATTTTAAAAAAGAGATTTTAAAAAATCTTATCGGACAAAGGCCCATGCTATCATTATTTCTAAATATAAGAGGAAATAAAGCCCAATTCTGACCTTCATAAACTTATTTTTAAATCTCTTTTTTAAAATATGAAATATATATTTTCTAACGCAACTCGACGAGTTCTATCCAACCATTATGAAGAAAGAAAAAAATGTTCTGCTGAAATTTTGCATTGTAGGCGTCTGACATACGCTGTAAATACCTTAAAATTTGAATATCTCGTTCCATGCACACTAATGGCCGCTAATATTTAAAATTTGTTAGTTTGATGGTGAGAGGTTTCTTTTGACCCAAAGATGTCTAATTTTTTAACTAACAATACAAATACCCCCGTTATTAGTGAAAAACAAAATTAGCTAAATTTCGAACTAATGATGCAAGATCACTAAGAGCAAACCCTAGTTTCAATCGACTTTATAGAAGTATGTATAGTCCAATGAACTGACGGTATTGCCACAAATCACTCTCACCGATGGATTCTTGGATGAATTGGACTGTTCTCAGCAAGGGGGAAAATTGGTTTCAATAGCTAAAATCAATTTGAAATTATTTGAAACCACGTCAACTCCGTTGAAATCATGAAATCAGTTTGTTCTCTCTTGGCTCTCAATTAAAGAAGGATCAAGGTAAGCTATTTCTTCTAAAATTAGAGTTTTTATATTAATTTTGTTCTCAGCATTCAAAGCTTGAACAATGGATGTGCTTTGATTAGCTGTGCACGTGTACGTAATCAGCATAAATAGAAATCCGTACTTCGTCTCAATATTCTTTGAATATTTCAACACCATTAATGTTGCAAATACAAGAAATTCAAGTGTTCTTTCAAAACTCATTAAATTCCAATGTGTTCATCCATTCAGAGTATACATTAAAAGCATATATTGATCATGTTTCAATTACCTACTTCATCTGTTCCTACTATTTTACATAAACATTCGAGAACCCAAGGGTGTAGGTGTGGGTATGGATTTGAGTGTGGGTGTGTGAATAAGGATGTGGATGTGGGTGTGAAGGTATGATAATCGGTATGTGGAGTGTTGGTGTAGGTACCGAATATGGGTGTGGCGTGTGGATGTAGTAGGCAGTTGGAAGCGACCCACACCCGCAATAATAACATCCTTGCCCATCGTTTTCCAAAATAGCCGTTCTTCCAATATTTCACTTTTTATCTATTTAAAGTTTTTTTCAATATTTTTTACTGCCAAAATTTGTTTTCGGCATTTTTACTTCGAAATTTTTAGTTTCGACTAAAGTTGAGATAACCAATCAAATGAATGAACAGCATAATATTTACACAACGCATTCTTTATGAAATCGATTAGTTAATTTTCTTATGATTCAAAATCAAACATACATATGGCAATAATTATTTATATTCACTACTATTTTAGATCAATTAAATATGAATCCTTATTTTCTTCAATGGTGATATACAGATATTTATTTAGTGTTGATATTGATCTAGACATTTAATGCTAATAAAGACACAATAGTAGTAAGAAAGAAGAGATAGATAAAGAAAAACTACAAGAAATAAACAATTCTTCGCCATCTTGCTGTCTGTCCAATATATACATGAACATATTAACATTGTTTTTTGTTGAACATATGAGAAAATAATATTATCTGACATATTCACATAGACAATATCTGAGAACAAAAAAATCACACGTACACACACATATATATATATATATATATATATATTGATTTGAAAGTTATTCATCAAAAGTGTGGTGTTTGTGTTTGATCAAGATATGTTGCATCGGTAAATGTTTCTGATAATGGTTTGCTTGATTTAAGCTCTTTAAGCCATGTTTGAAGTTGATCTTTGATTATAGGGTAATGTCCTAATGTTCGACGTGTTAATTTAAGTGTTCGACGTGATAAATACCAATGACCTTGAGTTTTCCAAAATGTTTGAAATAAACGTTCTACAAAACATAATGAAGTGAAAAAACAACATATTTTAATTCTTCTTAAAAAAATAAACAAACCTTTAGCCCAACCAGGTATACGAGTTTCATCTTCATCATCATTATCTGAATCTTGATCTGAACGTACATCTTCAATACCATAATCACCATCACCTGAATCATGAGTTGTATCGCTAACAAAAAAAAATATTTTTTAAAAAAAGAACAGTTAAACTGATTTGTTTTTTTTTAAGAAGACTTGAGACAGTGGTCATGTCAACAAAAGTATGCAACTGATCTCGAACAGAAAACTAGTTCACAAATTTGAATATACAGCAGATCGAAGAGAAATCTCGACGAAATTTTTAGATTTCTTAAACTTAATTTTCAATAGACCATAGCACATTCTCATCGGATCTGTCAAAGTTGCAGTTAACAAAAATGAATTATCCTTCACTATGGCTTCAAGATCTTGTAGACCGTCAGAGCACTGAGATTCTTCTTTGGTGTACATATATATATATGTACTAAATGTATCAAAAGATACTACTGTCCTTTTGGTAACATAAGGCATGGTAAGGACAATCTCTTGAAAAACTCTAAAGCTTAAAACATCCATATATGTGTCGTGGACGCGAAGGAAATAAAGAAAAGAAATTTTCAACTAACGTCATTGTTGTATCAAGTTCCAATTCATCATAAGCATTTGCAGGTGTTGGTAAAATAGTCCAATCTGCTTTCTGTTGCACATTTGGTTGAATTAATGAACTTGATGGTAATGTAATATCGTTTCTTTGTGGATTATTCTTATCAACAACAAATGTATATTCAGCATTTGCTGTTGCTGGTGTTCCTTTTTTTAATCCAAAATTTGTTGGTTGTTTAAATATTTTATTTTGACCAAGTATTTTATTGCTAGTCGTATCAAGTATAACAGGTTTATGCTGTTGTTGTTGTGCAGTTGTTTTTGGAAGATTTGTTGATTCATTTATTGAATTATTAAATGTTGTTGAATTATTAAAATTATTTCCTTGTGCTTTTTTATTAACAATAGCATTTGTTTTTGATTGATTATCAGATATACGTAATTGATTTTTTTGATCTTTATCTTGTTGAATTTGTTTAGCACGATTAAGAACTTCTTCACGTTTTTTTGCCTGTTCATGTACTTTAAGAAAAGAAAAATGATTTAATATGAAAAAATAAATTTCAGCTTTACTTACATTTTTCAACTTTACGTTTACGTTCTTCTTGTTTACGTTCTTCAACAGCACGTGCTAATTGTTCACGTTGTTCTTGACTAAGACGAGATGTATTACTTGTAACTGATGGTTTATTACGAAATAATGTACGAGAATCTGGACGATGTTGACGATCATTTGATGAACGTGCAAACTAATCAATTTAAATTTAGATCTTTGTTTTTCTTTTTCTTATTTTAATCGACTTATTTTCTTTACCTTGCGAATAGCACTTGTTTTACCAGTGCCAAAGCCTGAACTACGTTTACCAGCTGACCATTTTGATGATAGTTTTTGCTAAATGAAAAAAAAATGAATAATAGATATTTGAAGAAAAAGAAGGTTATAATAGATTAGTTACTGGAAATTTTTGACCTGTTATTGATGTTCGATTTGATGAAGTATTTAATTGTACTGAAGTATCATTATTATTTTCAATCATTTTTGCTTGTTGTTTTTTCTTCTTGCCTTTCTTCTTAGGTAATTTTGGTGGTTCATTTTCTTCATCACCATTTGCATCAATATAATTCTGATCGTCATTATCATCGAGAAGGATCACATTTGTATTATTGTTATTTATTTGTTGATCGGTATTTGGTTCATGACAAGGTTGTAATACTCGACTAGGTGATGATGGATCTGTTTGCCATTGTACTGCTTCATATTCAATTGGTTGATCAGAACGAAATGGTAAATAGATCGATTGCTCGGAGATTTTCGGACGATCTGATAATGATCGACCAAGACAAGAGTCCAATATTGTCGTAAAAGATCTATCAAATAAATGAAGAAATTCAGGTATTTTACATGAGAAAATAATGTCATCAGATCGAATCACGAACAAATTTGCATGTAATACTAACTGATAGTTATGTAAAATAGTCAGATGATGTGTATTTCTTGCAAAAGCTAGAAAACTAGGATAAAAACCAATAATAACTATATGATAAGCTTCTAAAAATTATTGTTTAATAAGACTTGCTTTGTTTAAAGAACAATTTTATCATTTCAATTTTCAATCTAAAACTTTATTAAACTTTTCTTGAATTCTTTTAGACATATCTGTTCGTATTATATTAACTCATTCTAGTCTCTAGTCGAATTGTTTCTTTTATTCTCTTTCAAATATATAACTTCGTAAAATTCCTATGAAAAAAAAATCAACAAATAAGTACGATAAGATTAACAATCTAATTAGAGAATAAAAATCCATTTTTACATTATTTCATTATTATTTTCAAGCCATTCACGTTCGATATCTTTCTGTTGAAATGTAATTTCCGATGATCTAGAATAAATCAAGGAAAAAATCAAAAAAAATATATACAAGTCTAAGTATCAACATACTCATTTTCATATAACAATTGAAGTCTATTAATCTTTGCTGATGGATCATTATTATATTGTTGAATAGATTTTGCAATCAAAGCCGAAGCCGCAGTAAATGAACGTATGTCATTATATTCCAATTTATCAAAGGCATGGATAGTCTCAATAACAGACATCTACATTAGCAAAAAAAATGAAAAATTTCATCTTGTATATCCAATGCAAAAAAACAAACTAAATTTCAACCATTTTTATACATTTCTATCTTCTTCTTTTCCTTTCAATACACACAAATAGCAAAAGGAGACAAAAAAAAAGAGGTAAATACATAGATACATAATCATATTTGTTTGTTTTGCTTTTCTTTTTTCACGACAAATACATACAAGAAAGAATGATAATAAAGGCTATATACATACGAACATGTTCAAATATTCTCAATTTAAAATCGAGATTTTATAAATGAACAAATACAAAATGATCACTTGTTCTTATTTCAATGTATATGTACATTAAGAAAAAAAAAATTCAAGAAAGTGGTTTATCGCTACTACCAGGTGGTGCTATAGCACTATTTGTTGAACTCGCTGCAGCTGCTGCTTGTTGTTGAGCAGCTGCTAATTGAGCATAGTATGCTTGATAATACAAAGCAGTTGCATCAGGCAATTGATTTTGTTGTTGTTGAGTATCAGATTGTTGAGGGATTAATTGAGGTTGAGGCTGTTGTACTGCCTGACCCTAAAAAACCAACACATTTTTTAAGAAAAAAAATTATTTTGAAGAAATGAACCATTTGTGCTGTTTTTAACCATTGTGTCCATTGTTGAGTTATTGAATTGGTATCTTGTTGTGATTGAATTTGTTGTTGTTGTTGTTGTTGTTGAACGACTTGTGGATTAAGTGCAGCGGCATATAATGCAAACCATGAATCAAGTGAACTCGGTTGTGTTGCACCGGTAGCATTAATACTTAAGGGATTTTGAGGTTGTAAAGTTAAATTTGGATTGTTTGTTGCTGTTTGTTGAGGAATTTGTGATGGAAATTGTTGCTGCTGATTAGATGGTGGATTTTGAAGAAGCGGTTGTGAACGTTGTGGTTGATTTTGAAATGGATTTTGTTGTTGTTGTTGCATCGGTGGCTTTAAAAAAAAAACAAAAATGAAACATTAAAAAAAAATATTCAAGTAAAACATTTACTCGAGATCCAAATCCTTGTCGATCATGTTGTTGATTGAAATTATTATTATTTTGCATAAATCCACTACTATTACCTTGATGTTGAAGATTATTATCGTATTCATTAAATTGTCGACCACGTTGTTGATTATTAAAATCTGATCGAAATCCACCACCATTACCACTGCGTTGATTATCATGATATGATCCTCGATTACTAAACTGATTTCCACCTCGAAAATCTCCGCGACCACGTCCACCACTACGTCCTCCGAAATCATTTGTTTGTTGTTGGTGACGTCCACCGCGCCATCCATCATTCGATTGATTATTATTATAATTATTACCTCCTCGTCCATGATAACCTCCTTCATGAGAACCACCACGTTCATTATAGTTATTGTTTCTTGAATCCTGTCGATAATCAGAATAACCACCACGCGAATAACCACTTCCACGATAGTTATTGTTATGACCACTACCCCTATAATTATCATTACGACGTGATGATGAATAACGTGAATCTTCACGAGAAGTTCGTCGATCACGGTCACGATCTCGATCTCGACTTCCACGGTCACGTGAACGAGATCGATCATATCGATCACGATCATGACTACCACGATCTCGATCATCATAACGATTTCGATCATTACGTGATGAACGATAATCATCATGTCGATCATAACGTGATGAAGACGAACGATGTTGATCATAATCTCGATGAACTTTATCATATAAAGATTTGGCTTCTTCATAAGATAATTCAGGATAAATAACCTCTTCTAATGAAGAACCCTTTTGTAAGAAATGAAATTTAGCTAAAAACAATAATTCAATTGAGATGAATTATTCAAAAAAGAAATTTATATACCTTTCGCTTCTCGAATCCATTGTGAAGATATTGAAATATTTTCTGCTTTTTCAACTTTTTCAATACGTGTTTTTAATTCATCATCATCAGGCACAATAACAACACCTATACGATGATAACCAGTAAATAATCGTTGACGTTTTGATTGAGTTTCTCGGCTTATATTCACCTAATCAAATAAGAATTTTTATTTTTTATAAAAATTAAAATTAAAAAATCAAAGTTTACATGATCAATAATATAATTTCGTCGACGTTGTGCAGCTATTTCAATTAATTTTTGCAAACAAATATTTACACGTAGCATCAAACCATCATTACGATTTTTAATTGTTGGTAATTTACCATCAATCTTAAAATACAGCAATAGATTTTATTCAAAGACAAGTTTTCATAATAGAAGTAACTAATTGGTTGCCTAATTAATAAAGTTTTTTTTTCCAAAGAAGCAAAAATCAGCGAATCAATGTAAAGACATTTTCTATTAAAAATATTCTTGCTTAAATTTTTTTAAATTTATGTTGTAATTATTCTACGCATTTTTCTCCTCTGGTAGAATTTATTAAAAAGAAATAAATATTAACAACTTTTTTCTTTAAAATTAAATTCCTAACACTTTCTGTCGAATTTTTAGCCCCTGCAATTTCTAAAAAAATATCGGCAATAACAAGTTTTTATATTATTTTACATCAAAAAAAGCTAAAATTCGGTCAATTACTTAACAGAATAACTGATTCTAAGAGTTTTTAAGAGCTATCTCAAATAACAATTTTATCAATGAGATTGACTTTCTTATAAGACGTATTGAAGTCGTACAATAGTTAGACGAATAGGAAGCTAACGACAGATACACATTTTTCAGTATAGTACATATGAGAAGAACGGAGAAGGAATCGAAGTTTTCAATGGTCGTCTGTTGTCAACACGATATCAACTCTATCTTATAGATATATTCTCTGACTACAACGTCATCGAAAGAAGCAAAACTAATCATGAAAACTAGTGAATCAAAACGAGATCATTGACTAAAAATTTTTGTTCAACTTAAGCATAGATCAAATGATTGAATAGAAACATACCGCCATTTTACCAAGAACATATTCGGCATTGATTAAATTGAAATTTTTTGTTGGATTATCTTCAATATATTTATTTGCCCATGTAGTTTTTCCTGATCCAATTAATCCAGAAAGTAAAATAACATGACAATCATTTTTTTCTAGAATTGGTTCTAAAGAACGAATTCGTTCATTTAAAGGAATATTTTGTGGAAATATATAATCATTTTTAATTTGTGACCATGATGTTTCCTAAGAAATAATTTATCCATGTTTTTTTTTGTTTCAAAACAAAAAGAAATAAAAGATATTAATTGACTTACTAATTGTCCAAAATTACATTCAAATTGAATATTTTTAACAAGAATATGAGGATAAAAAATGAGTCGATTTTCGTCATTATTATTTGAAAAATTTGTTTTATCTAATTCAAATGCTTGACCATAATCTTGACCATTTTTTGTAAATGATATATGTATTTTATTATTATCATCATGATTTCCAAAATCAATATAACATCCAAGAATATCTCTCACACCAAATGATTCACCATATTTATCATCAGATAATTCATTATTTAATTTACCCATTTTCTTTCCAGAATATGTATAAGCAAATGAATCATTAAATTCACCTAATTGAAGTGCATGTAGACCAGAATATAAATTAGACCAGCCAACACGTATACCAAATTTTTCTTTTTCATTATCTGGCATATGTGGACATTCAATTATTTCATTTATCTAACATTAAATAATTAACTAATATGTAAATATAAATAAAATAATTCTACATACTCGAATTTCATAACAAATTTTTCCTTGTTTAAATCCATAGGTTGCACGAGTGCCAGCCCATAAAAAACATAAAGCATCATTTGATTTATTCGATGCTGATAAACAATTCGTATTAATAGTAAGATTTAGATCAGACGTATCTATAGAATTCAAACAAATATCGAAGATGAAATTATATTTTAAATTCTAATGTCGTCGATCAATAGAGGATTATCACCAGTCAAATGTTTTCTTTGCCAATACCGATCGAGTAGATCAGTATGAATAATCTTCACTTTTCTCATCCTATAACAGTCAAATAAACTCTTCAACGAGTCCCATCTTTTTTTTGTGTCGTTTTAAATCTTCTATAGTTTTTACCAAATTATATTGAAAATCACATCAATTGAAACAAAATTCAGGAGAAATAATTGTAAAAAAACAATATTAGTCGACTGAATGAATTAAAACATAAGTATTTAAGACTTTTCTTTTTAGATTTAATGCGATTGAATTCTAAAGTAGTTTTCTCTAAGTCGACACCGAAATCACTGAAAAAGACTGTACTGGGACTAAAAAAGACTTGGTCTTGCACAACCTCCATCTTTAATCTTATAGGAATAAACCAAAAATTTCATAGAAAATCGTATGTGACTTACAAAAATCTAGTACAACATCCTCAGGATTGTATTGTACAGTTTCTTCTTGTGGAAGTAATATTTCTTTTTCTGTTGATCTATAAAAACAACGATGATTAATAAAATGTCGAATAATTTAATGATTTCGATGTTAAATTTAAGCATGATCATATCAAAATATTTGTTGACATACCTTTCAGAACGTCGATTAGTATAATGTCGATCATCATCATGTCTTGATGATCGATGATAATCTCGATCTCGATGTCTACTACTACTTGTTGTACTACTATTATCAACAGTATCATCATCGTCGGAGGTGCGTTTTGTAGTTATTTGTTTTTCTGATGATGATGCTTCTTCTCCTTCTTCATCTTGTTCTGATTCCCAGCGACTTTTTTTCTTACGTCGTTGTTTAGCTAATTCATCATTTTCATTATCATTATTGTTTTCAATATCTTCATCTTTTATTTTTTCTATTTCATTATCTTCATCTTCTTCATCATCAGTAAGATGACGTTTTTTACTTAATGTTGATTCTATTTTTTGTACAGGTGAATTTTCTAATTGATCATTACTTGACATTGGTTCTGTTAATGGTTGTTCTTGTTCATCATCATCATCATCATCGTCTTCAATAGCCTAAATAAAATATAAAATAAAACAAAGCAAAAATTAAGATCCACTAGATAAACTAACACTTGATGGAGATGATGTTTCATCTTTGACTATAGTCGGAGCTGATTCTTCATCACTAATATCTGGATTATCTGTTGTTGTTGTTTCAGCAGCTAAGAAGCAAAGATATTATGAATTTATAAAATAAAATAATGATTATCACCTTGAATACCATTATTGATTGCTTGACGTAGACGAATGATTAAATCTGCTTTGCGTCCTTTTGTATCAAGACCACGTTTTCTAAGTTCATTTTGTAGTTCAATTACTTTTAATGATTCAAAATCTTCACTTTCCGACATTTAAACTAATCAATTATTTATATTAATTAAATATCGACAAATACCAGAAATAAGGAAAACAAAATAAGTTTTTTTTCTTCCTTTCTTTTGACAATAGTGCATTTCTTTGTCCGATAGACAATGTCAAAAGCCAATAATATGGTCGAATATAGATGGCAGTAGCATATAGATAAATTCGTTCATAAAAAAAAATCGATGAATGGACAAATGCCTTATCTCGACTCAAATCTTACTTCTGTGAATAATATTTTAAGTAAAATGAAAGAACTTAAATATTGATTAGGTTCAATTCATTGTAAATCTTAAATAATTAGAAATTTCAATCAATAAAATATTTTCATAGTTTATAATTTAAAGTGATTATACAGTTAAACAATCATGGGTGAAATAAATTCAATTATCTAATAATATCCGAATCTCCTAATTGTCTTTATGATTGTATATATTTTTGGTTTTATTTTCTATTAATTCTGACTCCTCTGAAAATGGTCTTCGCTATTGTTCACATGTTAATGTCTTTTGAATTTGTTATACAGAAGTCTATGTACGAGAATTATGAAGTTTTCAGTGATTACATCATTCAGTTTTATCATTGATTAATTGTAAAATACATTTATTTCTTTATGAAAATGATGTCGATTAATGTTTATTAATGAATAAAGTTATAGAAAAAATTCAATAATAAGATTTAATATCAAGAAAATTGTATATCTAAGAATACAATCGAATGAAATTAATTAATAGATGATTGATGCTGAAAACTAACATTGACGAAAAAACAAAAACTATTTAATAGCAAAATGAGATATATTGATAATTTCATAAGAAATGTTTTGTCACATAAATAAAACAGAAAACAATAAATGATTGTAGACAAACAGTTTATTAATCATTTGTTTTATTTTGACTTGAAAAAAAACACATTAAAAAAAATCTGTGAAATAAGTTTTTATTTAATATACGATCTTAGTTACTTTTTTTACATTCTGAATATATGCAAACAGATGTGATAAATCCATTATTGATAAATGTTAATCAACGCGGGAGATCACACATTATTAATTATTGAAAGAAATGTAATGTTATTAGTCAAGATAGAATTTATTCACGAACTAATTCCATTAATCTATATATAGAATGTTTTTTCTTGTTATATTCAATACTTTTTACGATGATCATCTATTCGTTGGTGTATAGTCAATTTCTTGATTAAATAACTCCAAGCTTCATTGGTAGAATCTTATGCATTGTAAGAAAAAAACAAATGGAACTGGATCTATCGATGAGTTTCTTCTTTTCAAGTGACTAGCTCTTAATAGAAACACTTATTTATCTATTCATATTTACGTCAATAGAAAAGTTTGAAGAAAAAATTCTACATTAATTACTATAATTTTATGTTGATATATATTATTTCAACTATCATCTAGTTATTTCATCTGGTCACTCAAATTAAGTATCAATATAATCATCAATAATCTTTTGAAAAACAAATAAATTTGTTCCTTTCTCTTAACATTATTATCTACTTATTATTTAAAAAAAAATAACCTATTAATCATTTCATCTTTTGTATTATCAAATGTTATTCTTCCTTATTTATATGATAAGTAAAAAGAAAGATAAAAAAAGAAAGAACATTATTATTTTATATTATTATTCATCTCACAATATAAACAAAAAAATTTTTCATTATGTCTGAAACAATTATTAGAAAAATTCAACGACGTTGTTCACTTTTTATTCAAACATGTACTCCAACTCATGTTAAAGATGTTTTGATGAGTATGGCAACAACATATGAAAGTAAGTTTGTTTTTTGGTTTCTTTTTTATTAAAAATAACACTTTTATATTTATTTATATAAATAAGCACGAAAAATTGTTACAATTAATTCATATCCAATAGCATTAACATGTCGTTTTGTTCAATTACTTATATTAATATATGCATTTGCTTATATGTTGTGGTATAGACGTGGTTATCAAGATCATGATTCATCATTAATATCATCTGTTATACTTGAAGTCAAAGGTATTGGAAATTTTGGAGAAAATTCAACAATAACATTAGATAATGCAGATTTTATTATTCCACCACAAGAAAATAATGCTCTTTTTATTATGACAAATTTTATAAGTACAGATCAAGAACGAACATTTTGTGGAGAAGGAATTGATGTTAAAGATGCTATATGTAGAAATCATTCAGAATGTGAAGTTAAACGTCGATATCCTTCAAAAAGTAATGGACATTGGACAGGAAAATGTCGTATATCTGAAGGTCGATGTGAAATGGAAGGTTGGTGTCCAGTAGAAAATGATCTTGTTGTCCCTCAACCAATAATGGATGCATTAAATTATACAATATTCTTAAAAAATTTCGTTGAATTCACACGTTTTCGTGTATTAAGAACAAATATTTTGAATGAATCAAAATATTTTGAAAAATGTCTTTATCATCCAATATATGATAAATTTTGTCCAATATTTCGTGTTGGTGATTTATTAAATATAGTTGAAAATGATGATGATGAACGTTATAAAATGTTAGCTTATGGTGCTGTTCTACGTATTAAGATTGATTGGAAGTGTAATTTAGATTTAGGCGAAGATCAATGTAAACCGGAATATTCATTTGGTCGTTTAGATTCAAGATCACGTGATGAACAATTTTCATTGGGATTTAATTTTCGTTATGCATCATATTGGAAAGATAAAAATAGTTCATATCGTATATTAAAGAAAGCATTTGGTTTACGACTTATTGTTACTGTTAATGGTGAGGCTGGTCGATTTGATTTCCTTGTATTAACACTTCATATTGGATCAATGATTGGTGTACTTGGTTTAGCAACATTTATATGTGATATTGTTGCATTATATTTTAGTGAACGTAGTTATATTTATCGAACACAAAAATTTCAATCTATTCATTCGGAAGATGGATAAAAAAATTCGATAGACATTATACAATTATCATCTGATAAACAAACAATGACAAAAAGATAAGTACCAGTTAAATAAAGGAACAGTTATTAGACAATATGAAATAAATGTTAAATAAAAATTTATTTATAATAAATTTGGTTTTATGCTATTCTTTATAATGAAATGAACGTTTTATTTAAAATCCAGTGTGTTGAATAGTTATCATATCTGATTATTAGAAAAATGTTTATTCTTATTGCTAATTATAAAGCATGCTAATTGTATTTGTATGAAAACACAGTCGATTATGAAAAACTGTCGGACTATCTTAGTTCGATTAACTTATTGAGATTTGAAAAAGAATATTGAAATAGATAGAAAATTAAATTCTTTTTTTTCTAATTAATAAATTTTCCTTCCAATATTCATCATTGATTATCACGGATAAGTTAATTCAAATAATAATAATAGTAGAATGTTTCTTCAACCATTCTTTCTCTTCTCATTTGCCACTTTCGTTATATGGCTCTAATATTCGAATAAAAAAAAATTAATTTGCACGATCAATCTCTTGATGGAAACGACAATTTATAAAAAATCCAAATAGAAATTTGTTTTGGTTAATGGCATGCAAGATTTTTTCGTATGCAGATATTAAATTTATCTTTTTCATAAAAATCTTATCAAGAGAAATCGATAATTTTCGTAATATGTGATATAGATCTTCTACTTTCATCTAAGACCAACACATTAAAAAAATGAATTCATTGAAGACATAACATTGAAGTATAAAAAGTATGTAGACAATAAAACTATGATATTCGAAATGAAGATTATTTTATTGCACCTAATAATATGATGTCACTCATTGTATCTGTAGTCAAGCGAATAACGATAATCAGAGAGATATTTTTAAGCAGTTAATTGATTTCTCCAGTCAATAAATTGAATAGAACGGCGCAGATTATCATAATTAACCAGAACAGAAAGGATGCATCGTAGTTTGAAAGAATTACTTATCGATGATTATCTTGATTTCGATGATAACAATGATGATAATGATGATGATAATATTTCAATACCTCTCGACAATGAACAACATATTTATTATAATGTTATACATCATAAAAAAACTAGTAAAGACTATCTTCGTGAAATTTTTCATCATCCAATTTATGATTATTTTATGGCTTTTGTTGTTATATCAAGTTCAATAACACTTGGATTAAGTTTAGAAACCGATGAAAATTATATAAAAAATTCTTATCGACAAAAATTTATTTATGCATTTGATGAAATTTTAATAGCAATACTTTTTCTTGAATTTATTTTTAAAATATATTTAGAATCAATTCATTATTGGTTTAATTGGACAAATATTTATGATTTTATTATTATTCTTTTTGGTTTTATTGAAATTATTTGGAATTTATTTTTTCAAAAAACAAATTCAACTATAACTAATTTATTAAAAGGTTTTCGATTATTACAATTAATACGTTTATATCGAATTATAAAATTATCGGAAGGTTTACAAGTATTAACACAAGCTTTAATTAAAACCGTATTAACATATACATTTAGTGTTGTTATACTTGTCTTTTTATTTATTTATGTTGTTGCTGTTATTGGACAAATGCTTTATGGAAAACCAGAAGATAGGTAATAGAGATCTGCAAAGAAATTGAAAAGTCACTCTATCATCTTCCTGTCTCATCAAAGCAATATTTTGAAACGTGAAATTTTTTGAGCATCCCAGTAAAACAAATAGGCGTACATCAAACTGTTTAGATTGTTATTGTTTAGATGGAAACAAGATTCACATAGAAAAAGTTGAATGTCATCGTTTAGTTAGGTGCTAATGCAGTTACAAAAATTCAAACTCATTAGTTTGAATTTGGAAGCTTTTTTTAGCTTTCTTACGATTTTGCGCACTATTCTATGATACATTGGATCATTCTAGATTTATCCGTCGAAAACCGACTCAGATTATTCAAGTAGATAATGCTGTGTTAGAAGAAATCAAAAAATCGATTCTATACTCATGAGTTTGCCTCTTTGTCTAGTTGTAAACAGCTGTGCTCTTAGGGATTCGATAGCTTGCATGACTCAGCATGACGATTGTATATCTTCTTGTTGTATACAATGGGATGCAATGATTTACGAAGAAAAAAAACGATCGTTTACTCTCTTCGTAAACGGTTCCAGAAACGTGTATAGATTTCGTATTCTTCGTTTTTGATTTATGTCAAAATCACTATTATGTTTCCATGGTATGAAATAAAGTAAATAAAATACCTATAGACTATTTCAAAGTGCAACACACTAATAAAATCACACATTTTAATAGAATTAACTATGTTATAAGAAAGAAAGAAAGAACAGTATTGTCAGAATGTGTGAAAAGTACCAAATCTTGTTAGAGCAGTGTGACATTGTGACTAATCGATCTCAAAAAAGATGATAGAAATTCGATTCAATGAAAATAATGATTATCTTTCTTTAGTCCATGGCATCACTTTCCAACATCATTAATTATTGCTATGAGATTAACATTAGTCGATAATTGGAATTTAATTGGACCAGAACTTGAAGAAAAAGGTAGTCCATCAATATCACGATGGTTTTTAACAATTATAGTTTTTGTTGGTAATCGTATTGTAACAAATGTTCTTGTTGGATTAATGATTGAAAGTGTATCATCGGTCAATGATGATTATATAAAAGAAAAACGTCAGAAAAAAAATTTACGTAATCAAAAAAAACGTGAAGAATTAAGTAAACGTATGTATTATTTTATAATAATTCCTTTTGAAATTTTGGATTCTTAAAAAAAACTAGGTACAATACAAGTATTAAATACACGGGTTTCAGATACAAATAATAAAATGAATACAACAGAAAATACTATAGAACAAATCAAAGCTAAATTAAAATTGTTTCATAACGAAATAATTATACCAAAAGACTTTATATTTTCGGTTAATTGGTTGGAAAAATTAGTTACATGCAGGTAATATTCATGTGGGTTATATGTTTTTTGTTTATAGACCGACAATTAGAAACTCAATTCAAAGTTTTTTAACCTACTTTTGAGAATGAAAATGATTTGTCAATCCAGAAATATAGAGTAATACTGGTTCAAGTACCTTTCTAGAGATAATAAATATACGAACTATTCGTAATCGACCACAAGATTTTGTTTTTGTTTTGGAAACTTTTATTCAATTTCATTCTTTCTGTGATCAATCTATTTGGATAAATATCGATTAAAATTTGATCTTTAATTTAAGAGTATAACGTTTTAGAAGAAAAGTCCACAATACTATTATTTTCAAATATAGAGGGAAGTAGACTCGACATTTTGACTTTTACAGAATTTGTTTAGTATATGTGAAACATACTTTTTCCTATGTAACTATATACATTATAAATATCCTTAAATTCGAGTATCTCAGTTTGTTTTTTTTTTTAATATTCATAGTTTATTGTGCCATAATGAGGTTCACAAGAAAAAGGAAAAAATAACATCAGCGAGAAAAGTAAATTATTAGATATATCACGATGTCAATCACACCTCCAAATACACATCAGAATACACGCGCAGAAGTATAGAGAAAAGAAAATTTAACATAATAAATCAATAGATATAATAATAGAAAAAAGAACAATATAATTAATAAGTTTAGTAATAGAACTTTTCTTTTACAACTAAAGTTACACAATTAAGGCGATATTACAAAATATTTATATGTAAATATATTCAATAAGGTGGTTGAATTTTTAAAATACTCATATTGCTGACATTGGATGTTTTCAAATTCTAACCAATCCATTCTGCTATGTCGTGCCCTAGTCGCTAATCTTGTTAAAAACTTGTTATTTTTTCTCAACCTCATGGATTTATACCAACTCTTATCAGGGGATGTAGCAATTAAATATGCTGTCCAGGTGTTTTGATAACACAAAGCTTCTTCCGCTGTCTCTAAATGCAAATGAAATTTTTGCCAATAGGAATATAGATAATCACGAAGGGATTTTTCTTGACTAAGAGTTAATGTTGTAAAATCATCCCAACCCTGCAATGAGTAAACCAATCTAAGACCAGAACAATATACATGTTCAATTTGTTCCTTCTGTCTCTCAGTTAAAAAAAACCATATGCAGAAAATCCATAAAAAGTGTGGTAATGCATAAGCTAGAAAAATTTTTCGTCTTATTTTAGTATCATTTTTTGGTATTCTATGAAAAAAAAATCTTCATCCCATTATAAACTTTTCTTACATTTTTCATTTTTTCTGATATATATAAACCCCAACCTAACTTTGTTGTAACAGTAATTCCTAGATATTTGAATTTTCCCACATATTCAATCGGTTGAGATTTATATGCTAATTTCGGGTATTTTGGTACAACTACACTGTGTACCAGTATTGCTTTCGTCTTTGAAACATTTACAGGTAAAATATTGTTTTCAGCAAATACTTCAAGTTGTTTTAAAACTACACGTGCATGTTCTTCAAGTTCAATTATATTCATCGAGAATTTCTTTTCGAGAGAGCTGGTAATAACAAGAGCTAGGTCATCTGCAAACAAATGGGTTACTATTTGAAAGAAAAAAGATGGTAAAAAATGAATATGTAGCCTGAATAGCGTAGCAGCAAGGACTGAACCCTGAGGTGCACCAACTAACATTTTAATATTTCTTGAAATAGCTTTACCAAAATGTATTGAGAAAGAGCGATTTTGTAGCCACGAAAAAATCCATCGAATAAAAGATAAAGGCATTTTCAAATCATATAACTGAGTAATCAAGGCTGGAAACCACATACGGTCGAAAGCAGATAAAAAATCCACAAAGATGACTAGAGCAGGACGATTACATGCAGCAACTGTTAACCTTAGATCTTCTATTAACGAAAGGATTCTTGTTTGAAGTCGGCGATTTGGTGAAAATCCAGACTGCTCATCTGTATATATATTATTTAGTCTACACCAATCAAGAATTCTGTGATGTATTATTCTTTCGAACCATTTACCGATATTTGGTAATAAAGAAATCGGTCTTAATTTACCTAAGACAGGATACATGCCATCTTTGGATAGACAGACAACCTTCGCATGCTTACTTGCCTCAAAAAAAGTTCCTTTTTTGGCACACCTATCAAAAAGAATTGTAATAATTTCCAAATATTTCAAGGGGAGTTTTTTAAGTAAAAAAGCAGATGTATCTATACTATCTGTTGCTTTCTTTGGTAAAAATTTTTTCCATTCTCTTATAACCTCTTCGTATGTAATTTGTTCAATTGGTATATTAGGCGTATAAGCAATTTGTGTGTAGACTGCTAAATATCTTCTATGACAAATATTCGATGGATCAAAATTTGGTTCAGAAAAATGTGTATCATAGAAATCACCTAATGTATTAACGACTGTTTGAGGATCTCTCTCTTTTCCAGTTGATAATGATAAACCACGGAAAGCTGGCGTGTACGTATAAAAATGCGGTCGCGCAAATCTCCATATATTCTGACCTTCTCTCATCCACTCTAATCTCAACTTATTTTTTTCTTGTAAATATGATGTTCTTGCTGAGAGAAAAAGAGTATCTCAGTTTGTGCATGTTCTCAGCAGCTAATATTCTAAATTTGTTAGTTCGTCGGTAAGACCTTTAATTTGACCCCAATATATCCAATACTCTTGAATTATAGTACACACTCTTCTATAGATGAATGAACTTGAGACTAAGAATAACGAAAATGTATTGATATTAACCATGGTACATATTTATTTAGATCAAACGAACAGATAAGAAACAGATGAAAAGTATATAGTGTATCGCAACGATTTATTCAACGAGTCTATAGAATACATAGTAATGATAGAACAAATTTAAGAAGAATTAGTTTTAAGAAAAAACGAAGAAATCGTTAGTACTAATGAGATATGTCATGCGTACATCGAAACGAGATGCTGTTGGTCGTCAGTCATCCAGTAAACAACATTACAGTAAACAGTTACAACATAACTACTATAATGTATTTCATTATAATTAATATGATGCAATGTACAATATACCATAGTTTACTACATATCGTCCCTTACATACTGCAAAATTTTATTTAGGTAATACGAGATTTTATTATGCATGCAGCGGTATTATTATCAGTTTATCTCAAGAAACAGATGTTTTTCATACAAAATTTTCCGTATAATCTTGTAAATGCTCTGCAATTCATGGAAAAACATGTCGTAGGCGAAACTAATGATCATAAAGATAATTGCTAGTGACGAACATAGAAGGTAATACTAACTAATAGTCTAAAATATTTGGTATTCATTTAGCCAATGTTCTACTGCATTTCATTGTATGGTAACACATATTAACTGTGGAGTACTTGCTAAACGAATAGTAAACATTTTTTTCAATTATATTTCCAATGTCAATTGAATAGAAAGGAATCAACATAATTCTTTTTCAATGTGCCATCATTATGATAAATCTTTAATCTATTTTCTAGGGTTAAAATTTCTGGCTGATTTGAAAGACTTTAAAAGAAAGTATCTCTTAACATCTACCGAATTCAATTAATGAATAGGTCCTTCAATACAAAACTTCGTTTCAAATAAAATTTTTCAAATCAATTCAAAATTTTTTGTGTTGTTTTTTTTTACAAATTTGTAGCGAAAAATCTCATAATGAAGGTAAATCAGCTCGTCATCTAATTATTCATCTTATTCAATCATTATCCAATATAATTGATGAAAATATGAAGAGAAACAAATAAGATATTTCAATAAAATGATATTATATTTAATGAAATTATTAGATTAATTAATAAAGAAAAGTCAAAGTCAATTGATAAATACATTGAAATATTGACAAAGACAAACAATAGATATTTTCAGAAGAAACAAAAAAAATTCATTTTTCTAATAAAGTATGCCATCTTGTTATTGTTTCACCTTGTGCGTTAAACATTGAATTCCAATGTGCAACTTGAACAGTTCCACTAGGATCATGACCTAAATTTGAAATAGTTTCTTTAAATAATGAATAAAATAAATTCATACCAAATGAAATCCATCCAAGTTCACGATCATTTTTACTTATTGAATTTTTATTAATAACAGAAATAATAAGTGTAATTTGATCAAGAAAATTTTCTTCGATATTAAATAAATATCGTTCAGCAAATACTGGTTGATATTGCCCATATCTCGTAGCTGTTCGATTTCTAGTCATTTCTTCACCAACCAAATTATGAAGTGTTACTTGAATATAAGTATCTTAAAATAAAGTAATCATTACAGACTTTATTATATAAAATAAAATAAAATAAAATAAAATACAAATATATATATATATATATACCAGGAGTTCGACCTTCGGATATCAGACGAAAATTATTTCCTTTTCCTATTTCAAGAATAAGCATTGATTGATTTCTATCATAAGCTAAACCAATTTCTAGTTCTTGCAAAAGAGAATTTATTGTTCCATCTCCACTTTGAACAATAGAACTTTTTCGTGAATATGAATTAATACTTAAATGAGAACGACAACCTAAATCAGAATCTTGAGATGGCTAAAAAACAAAAAAAAAGAACAAATATTTTTCATATATATATATATAAGATAAATATACTAACATAAGCTCGTTGTAATGGCACTATTTTACACATATCTTCATCAAGATTAATCGTAGCAAACATAACTGTTGCTTCAGCAAGAAGTTTTTCACGTTTAAATCGTTCATATGTATATAAACGAAAACGTATACCTTGGCTTTGCATTGTGTCTAATTATAAATAAATAAATAGATAATTATTATGTTAAAATAAACTATAAACAAAAGACAAACCAGGTAATACTTTGCAAAAAAATTCTTCAGCAAACATTGCATTATCAATTGGTTTAGCTCGTGTACGAAAACGAACACGTTTACTTGGTACAACAGTTAAATGTATTTGAACAAGAGTTTGTTTTGATAATATTTCAGTCATTTCTAATGTTGCTTTTATAACAAATATCCACATTTTGCTATTTTTAGCATCAAATTTAAATCGAACTTCAAGTGTACCCGAAGATAAATTATTGCTCGGATCATTTATTATTAATGAATCATGTTCACTCAAAACACCTTTGGGTTCCTATTAAAAAGTACACATAGATATTAGTTCATTTTTTCTTTCATAAATAGAACGATTACATTTAATAATGTGTAGAAGAATGAGGAATCTATCTGTAAGTTGGAGCAAGCAGCACTACCAAGAAAAAGTGACCTGCTGATGATAATCAAGAAAACGAAAGAAATCTTAAAATATCAGAACATATCAATGAACTATTCACTGAGAGAGCTTTTTTTTGCCTTCAAGTCTTGGTATAGTATCAGTAAACAGATGATCATTTCTTACATACTTTTATTGACTCGGAAAAGTTTATCATGCTTTTCTGCTTTTTATAGGAAAGGTCTTCTAGATTCTGCTTGTCTAAATATGCATATCTTCAAAAGATCCCTTCAATTTTGTAAGATAACATTTCCAGTGTATGAATATGGAAAGAGAAAATCTATGCTATACTTTTATCCAGAAGTAACACAATAGAAATGAATTCCTTTTTTTGTAACTACTCTCGACTATCTATATATGTAATTTTGTGGAAGAAAAAAGATGAAATATATCTTTGTCATAGTTTTGTTTAAAAATATCTGGAAACTAAGCATAAATATCGTTGTTATTGATGTAGAATGAGGGTAAAGAATATTTTTTAAAACGTTCGGTAGATGTTTTGAATCATGTGTAATTAATGATGATTATTTCTCTCTTACGTGAGTACTTCTTTTCTTTTATATTCATCATACACTTTCTATTCTTTTCTATTGAACACGATACAAAACCTTACATTACTGGTTAATTAAATTTAAATAATGGACATATCTAAACTGCATTTTTTATTTCATAGTCAAAGTTTATTATTCAATTTTACTAACTGAATACGGTATAGGCTGAAGTCTAAAAACTATTGACATCAGCTGATGAAATATCATAGTTATTAAATTATCATGCAACAAATAGTTAGAACGAATTTTTTATGTATGTGTAAGAAATAAAAGATTCTAAGCAATCACAGAAATTATATTTTCTTTTATTCAATAAGTATAGAAGAGTTTTTTTTTCATGACTCTAGAAAACTGACCGAAACTATCATCGATTGAAGCATGAGTTCTATTAGACTTTAGTTAATAATATTGAAATGGAAATCATGAACATATAGAGTTGAATAATCTCATTTGTAAATATATTTTTAAGGAGAGGATATTATCTTAATTAAATATATGTGAACAATTTTTCAAAAACATACATTTTCAATTGGATGCATAGAAATTCGATTGTGACTTGATCTTTGTTTAAAATTATGATTTAGAGCTGGTGATGGTGGAGCCGATCGTGTACGTTCTACAGGATCATATTCCATTGTTGAATGTCGCCTTGAAATACCAGTTATTGTTGTTTTTCGTTGATCAATCGATTTTTTATTTGATTTCTGTGCTACAAATTAAAGAAAAATAAAAGCCTACAATATAATAATAGTTTTTATTTCTACTTATTGTCGATGTTGAATTATTTTCGTTAGTTTCAATAATAATGGGTATCTGTGATGAATTTCGATAATTAATGTTTGCTGATTTTGGGTGTGGTATATATGTTGTATAATCATCATCGGGTAAATCCGTTCCTGCTAATCAGACATAAAAATTATCTCAAAATATCTTCTGTAACATCTCGTACATAGGATCCGTAAGACTAACATACACAATAAACAAATGAAATCTAACACTGAAAGGAAACCCTTGAAACTTTAAAATTAGGTAACACTTATACTCAAGCTTTTGAACAGATTCATGAGAAAAAATATTAACAAACAAAATACTATTTTTTCTTCTTATTCATTACATTTTTTGTTTCGAGACTTCGAAAAAATGACTATATGTATGATTAAGCTTCGAATACAAAAAAACAATTTCATAGCATCATTATGATATTGAATTGATATGTCTTAATAAATAAATTATTTCTAATTGTTTATATAAAATAAAGAATTCGATATTCATAGTGAATAGAAATAAAGAATGAAAGCTAATTTCCCTAAAGAATGACAATTCTCTATTCATTTATTGTTTGTTGTACAGATGGAAACAAAAAAATATAACATCAAACGTGATAATCTTACGAAAAAAAGGATAATAGCACATTTTTATTGATAATAAATGAAGAGAAATATCCAAAATTTGTATATGAACGTCTCTTACATTTGGGCACCCAATTGAATGTAAGGTTTTATGTCAAATATATCTACAAAAGAGATTTACGTCAACTAGTAATAAAAACTTTTTCATCTACGACTTACCTAGCGTGTTTCATAAGACAAATTGATATACAATAAGAAATTAATTCACAAATGATTAAATCTGAAGATTAATGTAGATAGATGATAAGGAAATGTATTGTTAAAAAACAAAAGATGTATTCTAGCGAAAAAATGAAAAAAATAGGTTATTTTCTTTGATTATTAGTCAAACAGAAAAGGTTACTTTTTGCTTTACAGAATGTGTCAAAATAAAAAAAAAAAGAAAGTTTATGACAAAATGACGAGAAAGAAAAAAAAGAAATTGACGTAACTGTGGCATGCCTCGAAATTATATATAAATTAGATGTAGACATTGAGTGAGAGAGAAGCAAAACAAAGACAAGTATACCTGCAGATTTTTCTTTCTTCTCTAACATTTGACACTCATCACTATTTAAAAAAAAGAGAAAGCAAGAAAACATAAAAGTCCTAATTTAGACCAAACCATAAGAGAAGAGATAGAAAAAAAAATGAAGACAAGTCGTGACAAATTATTGAGGAAAAGACTTGTGTGTTGTGACGATTAATGAATAAGATAAAAACTAAACAATAAAGAAATATTATTCAAGTTTGTTGACTGCATCATCAAAACTATTTAGAAGTCAAGAGATAATTAATAATTCAAAGATGCTATTCAATTTAATAAAATTTTTCAAAATTAATTATCTCATTAAAAATATTCATTCGAATAGAATTCTAAAAAACTGAACTAATTAGTTTCGAATCAATGCTTTGTTCAATATGAAATTCGATTGCATGAGAAAGTATCTAAGATGGTATTTCATAGATAAAATGTCTATTCTAGAAATCTAGTTACTGATCTTCTTATATATAATATCAGATTATTTGACTTGAAATATATTAAAATTTCATTGGACTGCTAAATCCAACGAAACGAATGTCTTATAAGAATGTCAAACATTTTTAGCTCAATACAAGTTCATATGTTCTGCACTTTACATTAGACATGTTCAAAGAGTATAATTTTATTTCAATTTCAGAAATTAATTTTCTCAATGTTAATTCTGACAAAAAGATGTACTTTTTATAAGTTAAAAACAGTAATTTTCTTTTTCTTTTTTATTGAAACTTGAAGATTGATGTTGATCGTTGAATGAAATGTTCAAACGAAGAAGAACGTAAAATTAAATTTTGATTTTTTGAAGTCAATCAAGGAATTCAATTATTCTTAATTAATTGAATGCTTTTTTTCTTGACATAGAAATAACATATTCTTAACAGTAACGAAGACAAAAGTATTGTAATAAAGATCTGTAACAAATTCATTAGTAAGATAAAAATTCAGTAAATATAATCAGATGTGAATATTTATTTTTTTCTTGTAGAACTTATTATGAACATATGTTGTAAAATTACAAATATGCTTCTATTTGACTCTTTTCTCTTGCTATACTAATAGTACAAATTGTTCATTCACATAAAATATCATAAATACGTCCAACACAGTTCTAAAGTCAAGTTTTCTAACAAAATTGTACTCTCTATATAATCTTATAGTCATATTACAAGATAAATTACTAAACTGGTCATAGTAATGGACGCGATCTCTATGTTTTTCAACTTAAAATAAAAGATTAATAGGATAGATGATAATGTTAATTCACTTGAGAAAGATTTTATGAGAAAAATGTAATCAGTTCACGAAAGCCATCAATATGATTAGATACGAATTTCAAATGTATAATATTATTGATAATGAAGATTAAATGAATACACTCAAAATTGGATCTAAGAAAATTGCTCATTCAAAAATTTGTGCCATAATTATCAAAATAAAAATCGAATATATTATATTATCCGTTTTCCAAGACAACATAGAGTGCCTAACCCTAATTCGATCACATAATTTTATCTTTTAAAAAAAAAAACATCATAACTTCTTTTCACAACGCCCATTCGAGCTAATTTTTAGTTTTCGGGATAGAGTAAACATTTCTCTATTATTTCTAGGGGTGGGATATTTACTTTACTTTTTAGTTACTTTACCAAAGTAAAGTAACTAAAATAGTTACTTAGTTACTAGTAAATAGTAACTACATATTTACTTAGTTACTAGTAAAGAGTAACTACATAGTTACTTAGTTACTAGTAACTAAGTAACTACATATTTACTTAGTTACTAGTAACTAGTAACTACATAGTTACTCAGTTACCGGTAACTAAGTAACTACAGTAGTTACTTAGTTACTTGTAAATAGTAACTGCAGTAGTTAATTTATTGAGATGCACCAGTTCTAATTCATAGAATAGGTCGGCATCGGTTAGAATCGCAATTGCAATTAATTAGAATCAGCAGTGATTACGAGTAGGCATATCACAATTCCTATCCATTATTAAGCTATTGACATTGAAGAATGTCATTTTGCTATAATTCTAAGCTTTTTGTTAAAGAAGAATTTTTCAGACAATAACAATTTGTGGTAAAATTTGACCAAAGATAATCGAAGTTGAGAAATCCAAACGTACAGTCAGATTTACAAAATTCGTTACCTGATTTTCTTAACTAAGGAATGGTTATTCAAAAAATTAACGATTTATATAAGGCTTTATCGAAGG